CCAAAAGTCTGTTCTGTATATCTGTGTCTCTTTTTCTGTCCTGCTTATAGGGTTATCATTACCATCTTTTAAAATTCCATATATATGCATTAGTATACTGTATTGGTATTTATCTTTCTGGCTTACTTCACTCTGTATAATGGGCTCCAGTTTCATCCATCTCATTAGAACTGATTCAAATGAATTCTTTTTAATGGCTGAGTAATATTCCATTGTGTATATGTACCATAGCTTTCTTATCCATTCGTCTGCTGTTGGGCATCTAGGTTGCTTCCATGTCCTGGCTATTATAAACAGTGCTACGATGAACATTGGCAGGCAGAATTTTTAAACATACCATTAATATCATTAGAGAGTTAAAAGAAAATATTACATTGATGAAACAAGAACATATCATAAAAATTCACAGAATTAAAAAAAAAAGTAACTCTTGCAAATTAAAAACACAGTTGCATAAACTAAAAACTGAATAAAGAGTGAGGCTGTCGCCCAGAAAGGAGAGCATGCAGAGATGGAAGAAATGAGAGAAAAGATAAGAAAATTAGAAGACCTTGTTCAAGAAGTTCCTATTATTAGAAGAGATAGAAAAAAAAGTGGCATAATCACCTTAGAAAACAATTAAGCATGATAAAGATGAACATACACATACTGTACAATTGAACAGGAGAAAATATTTGTTAAATTCATTCATTTATTCAAGAAATATTTACGAAGCACCTACTAAGTCATTGTGCTGGGCACTGACTATACAAGAATAATAAACAAGACAGACAAGACCTCTGCCCCTCTCAGAAACTAACCAAGATTCTTCATCCCAAGGCAGCTGTGGAGTATGGCAGATCTCAGACTCAATTTTGTCTACAAGGTTTGATGTTTCATGAAAGGAGTCTCTGGATAGATGATCTGTGGGCAGAATATGTGTATGAAGGAATTATAATCATTCTGTAACACACAAGAGGAGTAAAAATTAGAACAAAGCTATGTTTAGGAAGAACCAATTTAATTTTGGTAGTCTTGAACAGAGTTGTCCACAGATAGAATCAATTGTTTAGGGAAGTGGTAAGTTGGCTGTCAGTGGAGGTGTTTGGTACTAAGTAGCAGGGACTTTCCTGGTGGTCCAGTGGTTGGGAGTCTGCCTGCCAATGCAGAAGATACAGGTTTGATCCCTGGCCCAGGAAAATCCCATATGCCTCAGAGCAACAAAGCCCATGAGCCACAACTACTGACTCCATGCTCTAGACCCCACGAGCCCCAACTACTGAGCCCTGTAGAGTCCATGCTCTGTAACAAGAGAAGCCACCACAATGAGAAGTCCAAGCGCTGCAGCAAAGAGAAGCCTCCAATCACCACCACTGGAGAAAGCCCATGAGCAGCAACAAAGACTCAGCACAGCCAAAAATAAATAAATAAATAAAAATGTAAAAAATACAAAGCAGCATTCATTCACTCAACGATTGCATGATCGCCATGTTCCAGGCACTGGGGTATGCACTGTGTATTCATTAGCTATCGCTGCAAAGCAAATCACCCCCAAATCTAGTGTCTTATGATGTCTCACGATTTCTGCGAGCCAGTGGCTTGACTGTGTGGTTCTGACTCAGGATCTGTCATGAGGTTGCAAGCAGGACGTTGCCTGAGTCTGTGGTCATCTGAAGGCTCCACCAAGGCTGGAGGGTCTGTTCCAAGGTGGGTCACTCACACGCTGGCAAGTTGGTGCTGGCTGTTGAGGAGGGGCAGAAGTTCCTTCCCATGTCGACCCTCCATGGGGCTTCCTATGACGTCCCTCATCACAACATCACAACATGGTGACTGTCTCCCCTCAGAGGCCAAGAGAAAGCAGGATGACAGCCACTGTGGCCTTTATGCTCTACATTTGGGAGTTAGATACCATGACTTTCACAATAGCCTATTGATCACATTGGTCAGCCCTCTTCAATATGAGAGGGACCACATGAGGTTATGAGTACCAGAGATAAGGATCAATGTCCGAGGCTGGCTACCACACTGTAGATACAATGATGAATGAACAAGTGGGGTGCCTCACCTCAAGAGACTGTTAGTGTAGCGTTAGGGTACTTGTTATAGATGATGTCAAAGGAACTAGAGGGAGAGACAGGTGGATTCCTTCAATCTTAACATCCTGTGATTTTGTTCTTCTAGGTCTTGGTCCTTTCCTCACCATATCAATAAGCCACCATCTCAGAACCAGCAGCCCATGTTCTCGTTCCTCTGACATGGGCAGTTCTGAGGTCTCCATTATTAGCTGCTTGTCACTACACAGCAAGATAACCAAGGTCCCACCCTTGGGCTCCCAGATACAAAAGTCCCCAGATAACCCCACGCTTGCTGTTTCTGTCCCCTGAATCTGTCACTGCCTGCGTTCCTCCTCCCAGAGCACAGCCTGTCCTATGATACTGCCTGGAGGACACGGTGTCCCCATGTGGGAGCTGCTTCTGACCAGCCCCGAAAGCCCTCAACAGCAGCTATGCCCTGTGGTGTCAAGAGGAGAGCGCCCCCCCCCCCCTTTTCCCTGTTGTGTTCTTTTCTCACCAATCAGAGCCATGCCAACCACCAGACAGTGGCATGTGACCCCTCGGACCTTCTCAGAGTACTTTTGACCTTTGAGCTTTGGGGAGAGGTGCAGGGGTATGGTGAATGTCTCAGCCTGGTCCACGCCAATCCTGGCTGATGCTCCTTTCTGGAGCACTAACCCATGTGCACAGAGGAGTCTATTATCTTTAGGTCACCCAAGGAGCCAGAGGTCGCTGGGGGAGCTTCAGTCCTAAAAGTCTAGGGGCTCTGCTAGGATATACTGATGTGGGCTGCACCAGAATCCAGAAAACGTCCTTCTGTGATACTCACAGGGGACTCTAAATGCACAGTTTTCTTGGGTGTAAGTGCTGCAGTCTCACCAGGTGATCAAAACTGGATTCTAGAGAAACTCTGGCAACTATTTATTAATATTTGTTTGTTTCTAGATAGCTAGTGGAAGTTGCTATAACACAGGAAGCTCAGCTTGCTGCTCTGTGACAACCCAGAGGGGTGGGATGGGCTAGGGGATGGGAGGGAGGTTCAAGAGAGAAGGGATATATGAATACCTATGACTGATCCACATTGTTGTATGGCAGAAACCAACACTGCAAAGCAATTATCCCCCAAATAAAAATTAAAAAGAAATGAAATTCTGATAAATACCCTACAATACAGGTGTACCCTGAGAACATTACGCCAAGTGGAAGAAGCCAGACACAAAAGTAAAACTATTGTATGATGTCACTTACATGAACTACCTAGAATAGGCAAAGTCTAAGAGACAGGACAAGCCATCAGCAGAAACTGGAGTGGAGGAGTGATAATGGGTAATTGCTTTATGGACACAGGGTTTCTGTTTGGATCACGAAGTAATTTTAGAGATAGTGGTGATGGCTGTACAACATTGTGAATGTAATTAATGCCTCTAAATTGTACACTTAAAATGGCAAATTTTGTGTTATATATATTATACCACAATAAAAATAAAACTAAAACATTATAAAGTCCCAACACTACATAAATCTATGAAGTGGAAAGCAAAATCCCATTCTCCCGCAAACAGACCTCTTGAATTTACCGTCTAGGCCTAGCAATGTCTTTCTTCTGTGACAGCCCCTTGTGCATCCCCCTTCTGTCTGGGGTTCTGGACAGAGCTCACTGTTCTCCTTATGCTGGGCTCACCCTGGAGGCACCACAGCCTGTTAGTTAAAAGTCAAACTCTCTAGCTGGATGGCCTGGGTTCCAATCTCAAATTTCCACCACTGCTAGATCATGTGCTTCACCATCCTGAACTGCCCTTTCCTCACCTACTGCATCTTTGAAGTCTCTGTCTGTTGTGACGACTATATGAGTCAATGCGGTACAACAATTTTTAAAGACACCTAGCATTAATGCGTGTCAACTTTAGGGCCATCTCTGTAGTTAAAAGTTCTAGTAGCTTCTGCCACTGGTTGCTCTTCATTGGCCACCATTTTGGGGGTGGGGCAGGGTATAGCTTCCTCTTTCAATCCTTGATGTCCCTTGGTGTTGTTCCCTTGAAAGGTCTAAACTCCATTCTGGAAAGGTCAAGTTATTTGGGACAAAGGCTTGAACTGGCTCTTCTCTGGGGTCCCCTCCTGGGAGAGCCCACCTCAGATCACAGCCGGCTGTGCTGGTGAGACTGCTTGGGGCCAAATTCTCTTCCCCTGCCTCCTGCCCCATTTACATTTTTTTACATTTAAAATCTCTCAGTCGTGTCAGACTCCTTGAGACCCCATGGACTATACAGTCCATGGAATTCTCCAGACCAAGATACTGGAGTGGGTAGCCTTTCCCTTCTCCAGGGGATCTTCCCGACCCAGTTGTTGGCAACTGCAGCCCCAGACCAACAGGCCCCTTTGCAGGAGGCTCCTGGGCAGAATTCACCAGGGCCCCCAAGCAACTACTCCTCCCCACCTCTCAGCACTCTGACACGGCTCTGGGCCCCATTCCTCGACTCTGGAGATCATGGGTTTAGCAGTCAAAAAAACCTCTGACATAAGCAAGAATCGATTTTATAACAGAAGTGAGGTGGGGTGGGTGGAATAAACCAAAATTCACCCAAATAAGTCAGATTAAAGGCACAGAAGATCTTAGACCAGGAGGGACAGTCTTCCCCACTGTGCCGTGAGCTCCCCAGAGCCCAGGACTTCGTCCTGACCACATTGGTGGTGCCCTCGGGGTGAAGCCCAGAGTCAGATTCTTTACCACCGAGCCACCTGGGAAACCCACCGGACCACCAGGGAAGTCCAAAGCGTGACATCTTTATCCACCTCTCCTTAGAGCTCTCCCCACACCCCTCTCTGCACACCCTGCCCCCATAGTCTCATCTCCCAGCACCCCAGTCGCTCTAAGCATCCCCTGCTGACCCATCTAAGCTTTGCTCGCGCTGCTCCCTGCCGCCCTCAGCTTCCACAACACCAAGAAGCCCCACTGTAACCACACTGGGCTAGTTTCTCAGCAGCTTTATTGAGAAGCGAGACGTAGCGTCCCTTTCCACTGGACATGTATCCACAGGTCTGTACAAGAACTGCTTTGGGACAGACAGACAGACAGGGGGCAGGGCAGGGCAGGTGTCGGTGGTGGGGCGGGGGCACCAGGGGCAACTCAGCCCCCCAGAGGGGCGGGCGTATCCTCCTGCGCGGGGAGGGCGGGGGCCTGGCTCTCTTTCTCCTTGAGGGTGTTGAAGAAGCTGCTGACCTTGTCCCTCAGATCCTTCTCCAGGAAACTCAGGTGATCTTCCACGTCCCCCGCCAGGGGGCCCAGCTTCTGCCTGAGCGCGTCCAGCTGCTGCACCATGGCTCTGTTGAAGGTCTCGCCGTAGGGCCCCACCGTGCGGCGGAAGTCCTCCACCTGCTGCTCCAGGTGGCTGCTGAGCTCGGCCAGCGACTTCTGCAGGCCCTCGGCATTGCCCGGCTGACTGCCACGCACGCTGCTGACCACGGGCACCAGCCTCTGCCGCAGCTCCTCGGCTTTGGCCGAGATCTTGGCCTTCAGCTCCTCGGCATGCTTCTTCATCTGAAAGGCCAGGCCCTCCAGCTGGTGGTTGAGCTTCCCCTGGACGTCCTGAGCATAAGGGGCCAGGCTGCGGCGCAGTTCCTCCACGTTCTCATCGATCTTGGCCTGGAGCTGGTCCGCGTAGGGCGTCAGGCGCCCCTTGAGCTCCTCCACTCGCTGGTCGACCGTGGCCTGGAGCTCCTCGGCGTAGGGCGCCACCGAGGCCTGCAGCTGGTCCATGTTCTGCCGCATCACCGTCTCCATGCGCTGCGCGTAGACCGTCAGCTGGCGCCGTAGCTGCTGCGCCTGGGTGTCGACCTGGGTGCGCAGCTCCTCCGCGTATGGCCCCAAGCGCTGCTGCAGCTCGCGCACGTTGTCCCCGATCTTCTGGCTCACCTCGTTGGCGTGGGGCAGCAGCCGGGCCCGCAGCTCCTCCAGCTCCTGCCGAATCTCCTCCCTCAGCTTCTCGGAGTCCTTGGTCAGCCGTTCATGCAGTTCCGTGGCAAAGGGCACCAGCTTCTTCTGCAGGTCGTCCGTGTAGGTGCTCACTTCCCCAAGTTTATCTTGGAAGAGGGTGCTGCGGGGAAAGGACGCAAGGGGGCCGCCGTGAGGCTTGGCATTCCTGCCTTCGTGCTGAGTCGCTTCGGTTGTGTCCGACCCTTTGCGACCCCTGGACTGTAAGCCGGCCAGGCTCCTCTACTGGGGCCTTAGCTCCTTCCATAGGCTCACCTTTCACACACCTGCCTAAGACAGGTGAGCATGCAGGGTAATGAGTTCACCCATCTTTTCCTGCGGTGGATGGTGATTTAAGCAAGTGGATGTAATTGGTCAATGTAATACATTGACCTTTTACCTCTGGATCTCAGCTGGAGCTTGAGTCACAGTATCTATTAATACCTATCATGTGAGCTGGAGCAGTGGGCTTGCCTCTCCTTATCTGTAAAGCAGAAGGAGTGGACTTTGAGGTCCTTCTCAGCCCAGGTGTGCTGTGGCTGTGTGCACACCACATGTGCAGAGATCACATGTGATGTTCTGGGCCTCTTCTAGCATCTTCCAGTCACACCGGGTACTGGTCTCCCTGACGTGTGACACCTCCAGAGGCTTCCCAAATATCCTCACCCCTGCCCTTCCCATGATTTCACAGAGGCCTGTCCTGGAATGTATTAGAAGCCAGCTCACGTGACATTTCTTTCCTTCCCTTTCTTCTGGGGGCCTCAATGCTAAAATGTGGCCATTTGTCACACTCTGGAAAGTTAAAGTGGGAGATTCCCTGGTGACCCAGTGTTTAGGACTCAGCAGTTTCACTGCTGAGGGCCAGGGTTTGATCCCTGGTCAGGGAACTAAGATCCCACAAGCCACTGCTGCTACTGCTGCTAAGTCTCTCCAGTCGTGTCTGACTCTGTGCGAGCCCATAGACGGCAGCCCACCAGGCTCCCCTGTCCCTGGGATTCTCCAGTCAAGAATACTGGAGTGGGTTGCCATTTCCTTCTCCAATGCGTGAAAGTGAAAAGTGAAAGTGAAGTCGCTCAGTCGTGTCCAGTTCTTAGCGACCCCATGGACCACAGCCTACCAGGCTCCTCCATCCATGGGATTTTCCAGGCAAGAGTACTGGAGTGGGGTGCCATTGCCTTCTCTGCCCACAAGCCACAGGGCATGACAAAAAGAAAAAAAAAATTAAAGCAGGGATTATTCAGTCCAGCCTTCCTTATTTGCACACATGAATCCCAGGATCCAAGTCTGGAGACCTCTGGTCACCCAGTGAGTTGATGGCAGGACAGTGGGTATCCTAAGCTCAGGTCTCCTGCCTCCGAATCCAGCCCTTGCCCACACATTGCATGGCCTTTAAGAAGCCCTTCCCTGCCAACTCTGCCCCTCTTACTTGAGCTGCTGGGTGAGCTCAGACTTCTGGATATGTTCTACCGCCTTCTTGGCATTGTTGCCCAGCTGGCTGAAGTAGTCCCAAATCACAGTGGCCACCTGGTCGGCATTGACCTCCGCCTGGGCTCCTGGGTGGGAAATAGAGCAAATTCATGAGCGCCATCTCCTTCCTTGCCCCTCTGCCCCAGCCCTGAGCCACAGACTGGATGTCGGGGGGGGAGCCCAGCCACTGATTTTTCTCTCTGCACTTGGCTAGTTAGAAGCCACAGGGGTATGTAAAGCTGGGGATAGCACCCATGCCAGGGAGCCCAGCACTGTGAATGGACAGCACTCCTCAGAGCTGAGTGGCAGCTGGGTGACCACCTGCATCCAGCTGTGGGCTGACAGACACTCGGAACTGTCCTCTTGCCCTGGCCCCAGACTCACCACCCTTCCCTGCCTGATGCAGCAGATGGGTCCTGCCTAAGAGTGCCATCTGAAGGCAGCTCCTACTCACCGGTGACAGCCACCAGGGCCAGGCTCAGGACCACAGCCTTCAGGAACATCCCGGGCTCCTTGCTGGGCTGGGAGAGTCTCTTACTGCACCAGATCCTGCCTGGATTCAGAGGGGCCAGAGGAGAGGTTCTCAGGCAGCTCACTGTGCTGCTGTTGGGACTGATTGAAGCTCAGAACCAGTCAGACATTTAAATCCTCACGGGGCTGCCGTCCCCACCTTCCTTCCCAGTGTGACTCCACGCTGGAAGGTGACACATTCCCAGGAGGCCTCTTGGACTTTTGTGACCCTTGGACAACGTGGAAGCTGATGGCATACTGGGGCTCGGGCAGCATTCAGAAGCAGCTGTTCCAAAGGTGTGCCCCACCCATCATTGAAGGGGCCAGGAGCCACGGGAGGAATGAGGCTGAGGGAACACCTGAGCGCGGGACTAATAAACTACGCAGAAGCCCTGCGGCAGCTCTGGGTCTGTGCTCAGCTTGGGTGGGTGGGGGGCAAAGTTCACAGTTCCTCTGTCTGCCCCAGTGAGGAAGGGCCCACACTCCCACATCCCCCAACCCTGACTCCATCTCAGAGCACCAGACTCTGGACTGGGACACCCAGGGTCACAGATGGGCTAGTGAGCTGAGATCCAGGGCTCTGGTCAAGGCGAGCCCTGGAGGAGGCGACCCCTGCAAGCCTTTGGGAAGGTGGGTGGAGTGAGGGTGTGTCCTGTGTTGAAGGTGTTGATTGTAAGTGTGCTTCACGTCCGCCACTGCCAACTGTGTCACCTTGGTCCAGTGAGTCAACTTGGCCCAGCTCTGGCCTCATTTTCTCCCTTAAAAATGGAATTGTTGGGTGTATTAAATGAGACATTACTGGTGAAATGAGTAGTATTGTGCCTGGCAGAGTAAGCACTAAAAAATAGCCATTACTGTTGTTAATAAGAATACTAACTATTTTCTGGATTTGGACCAAGCAAGGAGTACAGTAGCAGGCTTGCTGCTCCAGTGAGAGTGGCAGAGTGAGACCCCACTCTCTGGGGCACAATGCAGGGTGAAGGGCAGACTGACCCGAGGTCTGATTCCTGCCCGCCGCCTCCCTGGGTGGCAGTAGTCAGCTTGTGATGAATCACAAGACCCGAGGTTCTCAGGGCGCCTCTCATCAGGAGATGGGGAAGAGGGGTGGTGGCAGCATCCCGGTCTTCTACTTGGACTTCCAACATCCTCTGCAAGTGAGGTCACACACAGAAAGACATCCAGCAAGAAGGTGGCTCATCCTGACCAGTTTGTGCCCCTCTGCTGGGCCACACACATCACCTTGGGTGACAAGGAGATGAAATCCATCGTATTACACTGTTGGCTGCCCTCATGAACCCCATGCCCCACACATGGATGGGCTTCTGTAATCTGCCACTGGAAGAGTCCACAGCTGGGCTGATCCTGACTTCCCGTGTCTCCACTGTTTCATAGACCAGGAGCGACTTGATGTCCATGGGGTTGAAGATAGCTTGTACCCCTTCTGTAGAGTCCCCACTACCTGGCAGTGTCCCACCCCACTGATGGTCACCTCCAGCGTCAGGGAGCTCCTCCTTCCAGGAGCAGCCTGGGCCATCTTGTAGTACTTTATTAAGGCTTCTGATGCTGGAGTTGGACTCCTTGGCTTTGCAAGTGGGCTCCATACATACTGACTGGGTGACCTCAGCCAAGTCTCTTAACCTCTTTGAGCCCCATGTGCCTCAGTAGGGCATGAACAGTGCATGCCTTCTGGGCTTCAGGGAGTCAGGGAGATAATCTGAGTAATGCTGGGAACTATGCCTGGCCCATAGTCAGCGCTCATCAAGCATAAGCCGTGTTTTGCCCCTGAAGACTTCACCACGCTGCAACACTCCCAAATGAAGCAGAGTCCTGCCTGGGCTGGGAGAAAATGTAGTCGCTCACCTCTGGCCTCATCCCTTTCCCCCTTAATGGGCCAGAGGTGAGCAGGTCAATGAGTTACCAAGGACTCTCAGTTGAGTCTGCCCTCACTGAATGGGAGTGTGTCTTTTTGGTTTTTGGCCATAATGTGTGGCATGCGGGATCTTAATTCCCCAACCAGAGATCAAACTTGCGCCGCCTGCAGTGGAAGTGTGCAGTCTTATCCACAGGACAGCTGGGGAGGTACCAGAGAGCATGCTGTGTATCAGTCTGTGAACAGATTAGTTCTGGGCGGTGGGAGAGAATGAGAGGCCCCTGTGCACCGTCTCAGATTGTTTGAGCTGCTGATGGAAAGGACATGAGTGCGGGCAGCTCCAGCAGAGCCTGGCCCTATGAGGCAGGGCACGGCCACATGGGGATGTCCACAAAGGGCTGTGTGACGTTGGGTGAATCATATCCCTTTCTGAGCCTCAATCTCCTTATCTGTACAACAGACAGACATAATGGTCAGTGAGGTGACGAGGCTGAGAGTCTAACATCACCTATGGCCACTCTCCTGCCCCATCAACAGAGATCAAACTAGTGGGCAGCCCGAGCCCAGAATCAGGAGGGAATGGCTCAGGCCCAGCCAGGGATGGGCAGATCACATGGACACAGGTCCCCATGTTTGCTCCACACTGGCCATCCACCCAGGGCAGAGCTCAAAGGGGGTGGCTCCTGGGTGGGAAGATCTGGGTGAGACACTGGGAGGAACTTCCAGCACAGAAGGCCATGGTGAACCAGGGCCTCTGGCTGGCAGGGCTGAGTCAGCGCTGCCCAGTCCAGCCTTGTGGCAGGGGCATGGGTCACAGACGCTGGTGAACTAAGCCTCAGTCGCACACAAGTGGAAGCAGAGAGATTTAGTCTAACACTTGAGGACCATTTTTGGCCCCAGCTGGTCAGACCTTCTCCTCTCCATCCTCCTGCCCATCCTCCCTGCCCGTTAGCAGTTATGGGGCCAGGGTTGGAGCAGCATCCTCATCCCAGGGGAGCTATGCTGGGGAGAGGGAGAGAAGAAGGGAAGGAGAGGCAGCTTAGGCTGGACCACTGATCAGCCCCTTCCTCAGACAGCCCTCCCGAGACCCAGCTGGAGCTGCTGGGAGGGGCATGGGCACACAGAGGCACCAAGCCCTGGGAATGAGGTCAGGTCCTGGGCCAGGGCATGCCAACCCAGCCGCAGAGGCCCACACTCTCTGGTTCTCTACCCAGCTTGACGCCACGCTGCTGGCTCTCTCCGCCCGCATCTTCTGACCTCCCTGGGCTCACTGGCCCATTGCGACCCAGGAGAGGGAGGGCGGCCTCCTCCAGACGCGCCACACACATGGCAGGAGAGTTGGAGGAACCAGGGCCAAGGGCTCCAGCCAGTCCACCCCAGCATGTCCCAGCCCAGCCTGGAATCTGGACTCCCACTGTGACCCTCCCTTCTGGGGAGAAGGAACAGATCAGAATGAAGAGGGAAGTGGACACGGCTGTCCTCTCTTCCCCAAAGTCCAGATCCTTCAGGACCTCCCAATCACCTTCCTNGCTGCTCACTCTGCATGTTTAGGATTAGAAGACTCAGACATCCCAGTCGTGCCCCAGACAGAAAACCTGAGCCCTGGAGGGGGCAGAGTCAACCAGAGTCACTCAGCTTGTTAGTGGCAGAAATCTGGCCAGAATCCTGGTGTCTTGATTCCTGGTCTGGGGGTTTCCTGCTTCATGCCTCCCCCCGCTCTCTCTGCCCTGGGTCCCCCAGTCCCCTTCTGAAAGCCCATAACCTCCCCCATATTAGCCCTCTCTCCTCCCGACTTGACCTGGCCCAGGCCCACTGCATCTCCCCAGGGAGGGCTGCCTGGTGGGGGGTGGGGACTTGAGGAAGGGCTCACAGGACCCCTCCCTGCAGGAACCAAGGCACCATGCGGCCCCGGCTGCTCCTTGTTGCTGCCTTCCTGGCTCTCCTGGTCTTGCCCGGTAAGCAGCCGGTGGGGACTGGGCTGGGCGTGGGAAGGGGGTGGCTTGGCAAGTGGCTGGGGGATACCAGACCCCAATGGGGGGCTGTCAGGAGCCAAGGGCTCCCCAGAAGCTGATCCACCACACTCAGTCCTGCTCTTCTCCCAGAAACTACCAGGGCCGAGGAGGAATCCCTTCTGGACAAAATGCAGGGCTATGTGAAGGAGGCCACCAAGACCGCCAAGGATGCCCTGAGCAGCGTTCAGGAGTCCCAGGTGGCCCAGCAGGCCAGGTAAACCCTCACTTTCCTGTCTTTGGTCGCTACCTGCCCGGGACTTGGTGAGAGCCCCCACGGGGGGCCCGCGTCTCTCCCACGCCCACCTAGGACCTGCGCCTCGCTGAACCTCCTTTCTCTCTGTAAAACAGGCCCCCTTGCAGGGAGAGATGATGGAGAGGCACCGCATCCCACCTCGCCTCCCTTTGTCATCCTCCTTTCTTCCTCCTTGCCCTCATGTCCATTTTCCTTTTCTGATAATCTGATTGGAGCTTTGGATCCACCCAGTGGAATTTCTGGGGGTTCTCTGGTAGCTTAGTTGGTAAAGAATCCACCTGCAATGCAGGAGACCCCAGTTTGATCCTGGGTTAGAAAGATCCCCTGGAGAAGGGAGAGGCTACCCACTCCAGTATTCCTGGGCTTCCCTTGTGGCTCAGCTGGTAAAGAATCCGCCTGCTATGCAGGAGACCTGGGTTCAATCCCTGGGTTGGGAAGATCCCCTGAAGAAGGGAAAGGCAACCCACTCCAGTATTCTGGCCTGGAGAATGCTATGGACTGTATAGTCCATGGGGTCGCAAAGAGTTGTACACAACTGAGCAACTTTCACTTTCAAAGCAATTTCAGCACTGTGTGTGTGTGTGTGTGTTTCTGACTTGTTTCAAATCCTCGGGCCCATGTGAGCAGAAGTCGGTCCTTCCTCTCCCACCTTGCCCCTGCCCACCAGTCCTCTGCTAGCCCCACCCACCTTCCCCACCTCCACTCCATCTGTGGAAGGGCTCACAGGACCCCTCCCTGCAGGAACCAAGGCACCATGCGGCCCCGGCTGCTCCTTGTTGCTGCCTTCCTGGCTCTCCTGGTCTTGCCTGGTAAGCAGCCGGTGGGGACTGGGCTGGGGGCAGGGACAAGGCAGTTTGGCAGGTGGCTGGGGAATACAGAGCCTCGATGAGGAGCTAGGCAGGAGCCAAAAGTTCCCCAGAGGCTGATCCACCCTACTCAGTCCTGCTCTCCTCACAGAAGCTA